AAGAACTAAATTTGCAAAAAAAAAATTCAAAACATAATTAGCACGTCACATTGTAACACAAAGAATTTTCATACTGCCATTCCTGTTCCATCACCTTGAAACAATCGGTAATGCTTACCCGGTAGGATTCTTCTATTAGTTGGTAACCAGCAAACTTTCTAACATTACACCACAAGCCCTCAACATTTGCGATTAAGTACTAATCTCTAAATTTGGTTTTACTATGATCACCATGTAGGTAGACTAAATCACTAGGGTAAACTTCAGGAGATATTTGGATGCGGCCAGACGGTGCCTTGCGCTGTGAGGATGGTTTCACTCGAGGAGAATTCTGTTGACGAACGATATCCTGATCAACCCTAAGAATTGTTTGTTGAGAAACTTATCTCTTTGTGTCATCATTTCACGAGATAACAATCCTCGACCCCGCCCTCAGGTGTACTAACGAGCTGTAGCTAAAGACAAGTGAAGATGAGTGAAAATATGTGATGTTTAATACATAGTCTAATCAAACCTTCACATAATGTATCATTGCCTTCGTTGTCCAAATTATGCACTCAAGCACAACAGGTATTTATTGTCTATCACCTTTGATTATATCGGCCTCGAACAAGAATCCATCTGAATCTGATGGACCTAGTGTCTGTTCCTGAAGAATAGAGTGCATAGAAATAACGGCGTATTCGGTGAAACGTTGAGTGATCAAGTTTGATATGAAATGAGGTGAGAAGGCCTTGGCAAAGATCTGTACACTCAGGCTAAATAGAAAACCACAACGCGTGACTTGCAAATGATACTCTTAATGATCTTCCAAACTAGTAACTTAATATCTGCCCGCAGTGGAAACACACAGGCTGGCAGACAACGCGCCACGATACAACTTTCCAAACGCGTGCACAGATGGCTAGATGTCCGTTAAAACACACGGTATGACAACATTGAATTATGCATGGACATAAGCGTTTAATGGTAGTGGCGGTTGAAAGTACCTCAATCTCGCATGGAAACTATGTTCTCTGAATTTTTAGGCAGCTTTGTGCTGAAGTAACCTGTCAGATCGACTTATCATCACGTAATAAGGAGAGTGTAGACCAAGTCCAGGGTTGAACTAGGTCTGAGAGAACACGGCAAAGGAGTTCTTCAAGTGCTGTTTCAGAGCCTGGAATACCCATTGCCGTTCGTGCATACCCTCTTACACCCTTGTTATGGGTCACGACTTCACAGTGCTTCATTGAATGGCGGCTCAACTGTACTTTGCAAAAACGCTGGTTCAAGTCAGTGGTAATGTAGACTTCCACTGCGCGACTTGTCAAAGAGTAGAATCCTACGTCTGCAAATGCGGTTAACAGACGGAAGCCATCCTTAGGATTCCTTACCAAAAATGGAGAGTTTACGTACTCCACTACTATGTCAATGTCTTTCAGGTTGCGCAAACACGCCAAGAGATTCAAGTTCATCGAACTTTGATTATAACTCATGTAATTGATTCCCTGAATACTGAGGTGTTCTGCCCTTGCGTTGAGACAATTGAATTGGACCCATATTCACCCAACTCTATTAACCGCACTGTTGTTAGCTGGGAAGACAGGATCGAAAACCTCGTCATATTCATGGAGAATATCAGTGAATCAGACGACATGATATTGTCTGGATGGAGGCTAACGGCATGTGAATGACGAGAATTGGCTTCTTGACGGGTATTCACTGGTAGCTAGTAAACTGATGAAGAACTCACAAACGCGGTCTTTCGCGCATACAGTGTGCTATGTTTGTACGATTGCAAGATCATGTCACATTTGAGACTTATGTAATGTAGTCAATATGAGGTTCGACCGCAATTTCCGTACATGAAAATTCCTCTGGTTGGTCAAGCTCTAGGAATTCCCCTGTTCAAATCACTGCCTTTTTCGTTGCGGTCATTATGGAGGCTCCACGCAATGCATGTTTACCCGTCGTAGTCTGAGTTGATTCATACTTGTAGATGTTAGAGCAATTATTAATCACTTTCTGCCTGACTGATCATAGGATTACATCATTACGTTCCAGAAAAGGTAAACCAGCCAATACATCTGTTTCAAGGTTATCGACGACTAGGCCCTCGAAGAATAAATCTTGGCCGTCGCGGGAAATGTACGATCGCGTTTTACCAACCACGCGCAACAATGATGACCCGTCAGCCTGATGGGCCGACTGAGTACTTCCGATAACATCTGTGGAATCTGGAACCGCTAAGACATCGTCTAGGTCACCATTTGTGCCGAGCATCTGCCGTGCCTTTGGAAGGAATAATTGGTCCTGTTGACGTAGAGATGAAAGTTAGTTGAGAAAATGGCTGTTTGGACGACGAGCCTCTTTACAGATTGGACACACGTGTCTGTTTCTTACCGCAGCTGGTGCAGAGTTTGGATACTTTTTGGGGTTGTTCACGACTGCTCTCGTTGCCTTGGCATTCTCGCACATAACGAGTCTAGGACATGGGAAATTTCTAGTTTTATGGATGCAAAAGTACAAGACCACAAATCCTTGCCATACCATTGTTTAATGAGTCTCGGTTACTCTTGGTAAGACGAAGCCATGTGAGTAAAATTCCTCATCCTCTTCGATAGCGTCCCCATGATGAGTAATACCGGAATTTCTGCGTAAGAGGTTTTCCTCAACAAAAGCCATCAATCCCTGGTACAGGTCCTCTGGACGCTTATTCACCCTAACTTTATTGATGAGGAATCGATAAAATGAGCACCGGTTGACTTGAAGCTGTAATGAAGGCGAACAGATTGCCAGATTTGGTAGATAAAGGTCGAGTTCTTGACTATTGTGTTCCGTGAAACGACGAGTCTCCGCAATGACGGTCTCGTCATCATCCACAAAACTTCAATTTGGCGATGTACGTGACTTCTTTTCCCAGCGGGCGCCAACAACTAGAAATGGTGCAAAATTCCTGTCCAGAGACAATGTATACGTTGAATTTTGTTTGCGGTTCTCAAAAGCATTGACTCAATTTTCATGAAACATCATTGTTTTGGAGCCCTATATGATTGGCCATGTTTACGGATTCTGCACGTCCTTGTTTACCGGAGCTATCCATGGTAGACTTGACTACGATGTGACAATAATGTGTAACAGATCAGACGAAGCATGCCAGTCACTTCAGTTACTTTATCTTTTAGTCGGCCTGAAAATCCATAGTTGCTGCCACCACACCAGTATAAGTGGTGGATACACTTGAGACAACTCCAGTGAGAAACCTGGCTACCTTTATTAAAGGTGAGGGCGGAAGAGGTACTAATGACACAGCGAGTAGAGAGATCCGGAAACTTATAATGTCATATACACTCGCTGTCGGGAGATGATTACACGATGCAGTTAATAATTCAGGAACTTGTCAACAATAGTTTTTCCACAGTATCAACAGTTGCAAAGACTAGGCTGAACCGTATTCAAAATCACTGTAGGCCCTACTTTCTAGAAGTTCTCTTCAGATTCAGAGGATGAAATCCGGGCCGAATTCAGTTAGGACTATTCTCCCGCGTCGTAGTCTTACTTTTTTTCAAACTGCCCATCCCATCCCACCCACTCATACATTTGAACTCTGTGATATCTTTTTTTATATAGCTGTTCAAACTGATCTAAGATATGTGTAGCTAAGTCCTTATCAACATGAATAAAGGCAGGAGCCATAGGGTTTGTGCCTAATACTAGTACTTCACTGGACATATCTCACCATGTTTCCAAATGACTCTTCCTCCCTAACCTGTTTCTTAAATTCTGATTTATAAGCACACTCTCCTAAACAGGGCATGTTACTACTGTATAGCATGCCATTTGACTCGTTGTAAGTTATCGAACACATTACCAGCTGTTTGGCCATTTATCAATTCAAGATGAAGATATGTTCAAATTTTCTAACAAAATTCCAAATACTGTATTTCCCATCAAGCGGGTGGTGATTATTGTCTTGGCACTTTCACCTGTATATACATTTTGATCACACATGTATAAGCTCTCCTGTCCCTGATAGTCTAGTGGAAACTCTGCAAGTATATCACCGTTGACCGTATGAACTAGCTTATTGTTATAAAAATATGTGTCAGAACCTGGCATATGGGCATGTCCGTTTGACCCGTGATGTAAATTTAGGTGTCTCGATAACCCTTCGGTAGATGTTTTCTTGTGTTCTGTATATGTGATGTAATTTATGTGATATTTGTGTTTTGATAAAGGAGCAAATAATCCGAACAACTTCGTTTCCGGCCATAATCGTCTGGATAACTGAGTTTTTCGGGATGCCGAGTTTAGTCGACCGGCCGTTATAACCGGGGTTATCTCCCTTGAGCACAGTTATTCGTCAGTATGATTTGTTTTCAGAATGTCTATTTAGTGTTAACTGTGAATACGAGTGTTCATGAATGGCTTTCATTATCAAAGTTAATTTCATCATCTTAAAATAATTTTATATGAATTGAAATTTCCGAAGTGAAAGTTGCATTTGTCCATTAAAGTCCAATTTCAGGGAGTTTTAATTGAAGTGCTTTTCGGTATCTACAATAATGTTTTACTCAAAACAATTGATAAGTCTTACTTTCTTAATATTTAAAGCACTGAACACAGTTCATTTACATTGTGTTTGTGTGTTTAACGCGATACGAGTGCTAAGAAATCGATGCAGAAGTATTGAGGGTAAACTGTCCCATCGTTACAAGTCTAATTAGTTACGTACTTCCATTAAGTGCTAATTAGATTTTTCTTTACTTTATTCAGTGAACAATTTACGTATGAATACTGTCATATCCTATTAACTATAAGTATTCAAAATGAAATAAAAAGACATAGCTAGATCGTCCGTTTGATACCCGACAGATTTATCGAAAAATAGATTGGTCAATGAGAAGTGATTTCCATTACATCAGTACCGTAAAAACTCTTTCTGAATAATATGTGTTGCTTGTGAATTCAGCATGTTCACTGATCTATGTCTCTATGTCACGGTTCAATAAGTCAGCATGAGGTAAGTATGTGATTTCATGTTTGTGGACTGAATACAACAGTATTTTCAACACCATGTACATCTAATATTTGGATAGTGTACCCTGTGGGTTTGTTTTTCTGCACAGTTTTAGAACACAATGTTTACCTCGTGTTGATTCCTGTCATGCTGATACATTAAAAATTCACGCTTTAAGTGATGTGTACGTTCAATATTTTAAAGTGTCTAGGTTCAGTGGTATTATGCGTGTGTACCTATCTATGTTGGCTTTGTAAGTACTAATCAGTGTGAATGTTAGTAACGGTTACGCATGACTTTACCTGCCGTTGTAAACTACTCTGTCGCCTACAAGCAAACATCGGATAACACGAGGACGACAGACATAAGTATGCTGAGAATGAACCACTCCGTTGTATTTGTAGTACGTATTTTGTGTCGTGTGTTATTAAGTAGCTGACAAAATAAAACAGAAAATAAGGAGGAGAGAAGAAGCAAGGACATAAAGGCCAATACTGTGTATACATGTAAGTATACCTTTTTGTTTGAATCTAAAATTGATAAAAGTTGAGAGAAAATTAATGTAATTAATTCAAACACTGATAATATTGACGGAAAAAGACACATACTGATATCATTCCTTGGCCTTCAATATTGGGATTTTGGCAAGTTTTTCAGAAATCCGTGCATGTACAATCTTATCAACTAGCTATAAATGATGATGATTTATTAAGCGAGATAATGAATGACATATGATATTCTATATTCTGTGAAATCAATCGCATATACTATATCTGATCTGTTGTGAAGCCTCATTATATAAATGTTTCCACCCTAAACCACCACATCCTTCGGTTTGTGAGAAAGAAGCGGTGACCAAACCACTAATCGTGTAATTTATCAACTTTCGTTTTTGTTCCAACAGAAGTTTTGATTCCACCCCACCCCCATGGCACCTTTATTCCACAATTAAGAATATATTGAATTAAGACTGTTATGATATATGGTTAAGTCTGAAAGTGTGTTAGACAATAATGATGGTGAGGGAAAGACCAACTTACAGCTGTATGCAATATACACTTGAAAGTATTTTTGCCCTCTATCCAGATCTCCCTCCCCATCCCAGACTGACTAAAAACAGGGAGATAAAACAGGGCGTTGACCAGACTTAAGAGTAACCTGTCATGGTTGAGTTTATCAATACTTACACTCTGTAATCACTTTTAGCATCCATTATGTTTCTTGATAATTACCTCTCCCCCCCCCCCCTCCACTTTTTTAGGTAATTTTACAACACCCAATCTATATGCAGGTACCTGCTGGAATATATATGAATCAAGAGGACGTTCCACAAGTAATGTAATTGTAGTGTGTAACTTAACTGCAGTAACGATTCTACTTATGTCAATATATTATGTTCTCCAGGTCCTTTTTTCTCCCTTAAAACACAAATCAGATACCATCACATATGCTTCGAGGGAATGTATTTAAAAACGTATTCTATATTAGAGTTTCATGTCCTTTAACTCGTTGACGTTCATACATGTAGGTAATCTCGCAGCCTTGACAGATCACTCGTTCAACTGATGTCGCAACCTGGGCACATCACTCGCTCAAGCAATCTCACAGTCTGGGCAAATCATTTTATTCAAAGTGTGAACATGTCAGAACATCAGAGATACTCAACTAACGAAGGCCCCAGATGTGTTTTGATTGGTCTTGTCAAATCACTGGTAGTGTCTCTAAAACGGATTCTGTTCTAAATTCCATCACTAGCACATGGATGAAATCTGTATAGATCGATCAGTCGCTACCAATCAGTCCGACTATGGGATACAATTGTGCTATTCCGCGATAAGATAATGCGGGTGTGCGGAAGATGTGCCTAGGATAAGAGTGGTGTTTCCTATCTCGATACTTCAAATACAATATGTGATGGTGTAGCATTTACAAAGATTGTAGAAAAGACTAATGAGTGAATTTCATCGTTCAATATTAATTTAGAATCAGTTGCAGTAGAGACAACTAACGAATTAAAATCATCATACAGCTGTTTCGTACTTCTATGACCCGTCAGTGATGCTGTGGGCTTAATTAAAAAATATAGGCGGCGACTGCTGAAAAACCGAAGTGATCGAAAAATAGTCAAAATCTTGATGGGGAGGTGCACTTACCCCATACTTTAATAATTATTGTCAGTTTTATTTATCTAATTATTTCAAAAGAACGGCAAGTATATACGTATATTCTGAACCGTGCCACTGTTCGAATGAATTATATGCAGTTTTATGAATATGACGGACTGGTTTGATACATCGGTAACCTAGCCAGGTGTTGCATAGATATGACATGGAGATGGCAGAAGGATTAAAACACTCAGTGATTTGATGTTTTAAAATAACGTTAGTTATACCGTTTTTGATCCTTTAATTTTGATGGTGATTATAATTCAGTTTCCTAAATCTCTTGAGCCTTTTATGGTTTATCTTTTTCGTATTGGCCGATATACATAAGTTAAGTAAACCCTTTGAACGACAACTATTATTGATTTAAAGACAGTCTTTCCGAAGTCGCTTTGAAAATAGTTATGAAGATGTCTCGAGACTTTGGATTTTACTGCAGGTGCATGTAGTAGTAGTAGACATATAAAAATAGTAATCATATGTACGTTTCAAGTCCTTTTGCAATTATCGAAAACACGATCGGCTCATTTCCAATACACCATTATTGTAAAATCCGAAAGCAATGCTTCTCTTCCTACATTACTTGTCATTTACATTCATATTCCCATGAACAGCCAAGAATTTTTTATGCAGTGTTTCTCTGTAGTTATCTATTACCTCAATGAACAACACAAGGGAGGTTCGTCACATCAAATCCAGAGCAATTAGGGTAAAGTTTCCTGTCCATGGATCGCTTCTCAGCTTCCTGACATGGCATCGCTATACTGCTTTATAGGGGAGTTACCGTCAAACATTAAATAAAGGGGATGTTACAGATGTACATGGTTTTCACCATCGTAGACCATTTAAAGGAATTAACTATTGGAGGTTATTAATGTAAAGTTGTGGGATCGCAAAATGTTACACGATGTGCGATGTGTTCATGATGTCTGCACGATGTGCACACGATAGGAAAATTGGACGAAATAAACTATAGCACATTTGAAGGTACGTTGTGCGATTCTATCGTGATTGATATAAATTTATTTAAAATGACTGACAAATAAGTGTGGGATAGGGTTTATTGATTCTCTAAAGAATACACGAATAAGAATACAACTGAATATATTTCCTAATTAAGCCGTTACTATATTGGTTGGACACTTGTAGATATATCAGATACACACTGAATAGTTAGATACACTCGTGATTTTAAGTGTTTTGTTTACTATGAGCCACACGTAACCACCCTTAGTTCGCAGACACACATTATATATACAATAGATATGTTAACATTGAATGAACGTCTCTTTCATTTAAATTTTCATACCGTCAGAAAACAAAAAAAATCAACATTTTATTTTCATTACTTCTGTACTACTCTCATATCTCATTCATTTAGGAAAGAAAACATATATGCTTAGGTAATTCGTAAATGCTGTGTTTGTTACAAGGGCGACCAACCCGGTACTGATCCGGACCTGTGACGTATATACGCGTATACAGGTAAACTTTCGTTGCCGGAGGCCCCGCTACTCGCTACTTTCTGAACTTTGCTGACCAGATTAATTAAAGCAGGTCAAGTGTTATTTCGAAAACTGTCGAATTAAAAATGACTTTTGTAATCACCGATAAATTTTAATGTTCACGTGAAGCTTTTATGTAATAACTTCATGAATTTCCGTTTATTTTTTACCACATCGCACATAATGTACTATCCTATCGCATAGTAGTGCGCACGATACTGTATCGTGCGTGTGTGATGTGCGCCCGAATGTTTTGGTGCGTTGTGCGTTGCTACATCTGTATCAGTTCATTTTGATGGATATGCCCGAAACGTATAAAATGTCACCAGAAAACCATGGCAGCTTTCTCAAATAAGACAAGATTTAACCAATAAACTTGAAATGGTTTTGTTTTAAATTCAGGCGAGTATGAAGGTTCATGGATTTGCGTTTTTGCGAGGCTGATATTAAATGGGTGCAATTAGTACCTGTTATTAAGTAACATGAAGGTCTGTGCTAATTGGTGTTCCAATTATCTCCTGACTCTGGATTGTTTTAACAACGGATTACTAAAAGAGACTGAAGAACTTTGTGTGGGGTGTAATGATAAATTTATAAAGTTAATTAGCGGGTATCAAACGTTCGGCCCTTAACATCATTGACAAGTCCTTGAAGGACAAAACATCTGTATGGTGTAGTTTAATTGATTATTTGTCTCGGTTCTTTCTGATTTTAAATTTGTATTAAAAGGTGTTATTTACTTGTGAGTCTTGTACATTTTCTTCAGAATCAAAATCTCATTTCTCTGAAGACTTTCCTACTAGTTTATATTTTTCTTGGATAGCTTGAAACAATTCTAAAGTGAATTTAGCTATCATCATATCCACTTAGAAATAAAATGACGTCCATTTTATGTTTAAAGGGATCTCCCCAACCCTTAGGGAATTCAATTGCGCCGCACTAAATGAAGATACCGTGTTTAATATTGTATAACATATTTTGTGTTTAATTGGCATGAAAATTCATTTTCATCATAAATTGTGCCTTTTATTAACCCATCCCGATTTCATATATCTATGCACTCTTATTGTATTGTATCGCATTGTATTTGTTCTTAGGGTTTTCATAGACTGTATCGATCAATTTGAATTCATTCCAATCTGCATTCATACCAATCTAACGATGCTCAGGTAGACCTTCATGTTGGTACATGTTAACACATTCTTGTGCAGTTTCTCTGAATATATTGATATATGTTTGAATATAATCTTATTGATTTCAGCCGATCACTATTAAAAATCGCTTATTTCGAAGACATTCCTTACTTATCATTTTAACGTGTTGAGGATTGTACAAA